AGTTCCCTACACCAAACATTTTGATTCACTCATGGTCTGGGCTGCTATGACATTAGCCTTTTTTGGTTTTTGGAGATTGGGTGAACTCACATGCAACTCAAAATTTCCACCTGAGATTCACCTTGCCCCAAGGGATGTTCGGTTCTTCCCTCACCAGGGCAATCCTGACTTAATGAAATTGAGCATCAAAGCCTCCAAAACAGACCCATTCCGCTCTGGCCACACCATCACTATAGGGAAAACTGCCTACCCCTCTGTCCAATTTTGGCCATGCAAAAATACCTGCAGGCAAGAGACACCTCTTCCGGGCCTTTGTTCATATACTCCTCGGGCACACCCCTGACTAAAACAGCCCTAGTGACGTTTCAAAAACCCTCCCTAGTAAAACACATCTTTAGCCCAGTCAGTTACAAAGTCCTTAATGGGAGAATTTTAAAACAGATGTATTTACACTGTACTAAAATAGATGTATTTACACTGTACTTAAGCCCTTTGTGCCCCAATATCAACACGCATTTTCTCCTCTCTGGCCTCCAGCATTTTTATTTTATTTTAATTTTACCTACTGTTTCTACCCACAAGTTATGAGATTCACTCCCATCATGTATATGTGAGGAGACATTAGATGTTGGTCCCATTGGTGCTCAAAGGGTTGAAGCACCTGCATATATTTCTGAGCAACAAAGTTTTGAGATTTGATTTTATTTGTAACATGTACATGAATGTACTGTTTTTATCGTCTATGGGGAATACACCTTTTGTGTATTTGGTGGGGATGAAGAGCTTCCATAGAGGTCACCCTTTACCCCATAGACTCTTATTATTCCTTAACCCACGGGATTCGACCCCTAGAGGGGATTATCAACTCTCCATACCCTGGGGGATTACTACCCCCCCCCCCCCTAGAGAGGATTATCACCTCTCTCTGAGTATCCTGGGGGATTATCACCCCCTACAGAGCATGATCACCTCTCACTCAGTACCCTTGGGGGAATATCACCCCCTCTTGAGGATTACCACCTCGTACTGAGTACCCTGGGGGGTTATCACCCCCCCGGGCGATCCTTACACCCCCAGGAAAAAGTGACCTAGAATTCTTCATTGGAGTGCTTCATCCCTTACCCCTTTTCCCCACAAATGTTCTGGTTGTGTTGTTTGTTTATATATAATTATAGTAAGGGTTATGGGTTAGGAACATTAATTTTGCTTTTAGTGTATAATACTCATTCAGCAAATTAAGGTCATTCCTCGAGGAACATAGTTTTTCTTGCAGATCATTTAGTTTTATTAGTAGCTGTTTTTCTTTGTCTTTTTCTGATCTAGCTCTTCTCTTGGAGTACTGCACCGTGAAGCTTCTGATTTCCATCTTGATGACATACCATTTCAGGCCAAGATCTGAGACATTTTTTCGACATATTCTTTATCTTCTAACAAGCTTGCGTTAAATTTCCAGAAACCAGGGCCTGATTTTTTGCGTTGGTCGAATGATTGTATATTCAACATAATTGCAGAGTGATCTGAGAAAGGAGTGTGCATAATATTACTCTCTTTTGTTAGATAAACTAAATCAGCTGTGATTAGAAAAAAATCTAGACGGCTCTGAGACTTGAATGCTTGGTCATGCCACATAAACGAGAGAGCTTGAGGATTTAATTCACACCAAATATCCGTGAGAGTGAAGTTTGAGCACAAATTTCCAATTTTGTTTATGGCAGTATGTTTGTTCGAACCTTGTTTTACACTTTTTGTCTTTTAGCGTTAGCACGCAATTGAAATCCCCTTCAATGATCAAGTTGCTATCTGAAAATCCGCTTAGAGTTTGGTTTAAATCTTGATAAAACTTGATTTGTTGTGGAATGTCAATCGGAGCGTATACATTGGCAAGGACAAGGTTTTGATTATCTAGCTTGATTTCCAAAATTATTGACCTTCCAGTTGGGTTAACAAGAATCATCACACCTTTGCTATGATTTGATCCATGGCTGTAGAAGATATTTCCACCCCATTCCGATCGCCAGATGTTTATAGATTGTTCGGTACTATAGCTTTCTTGGAGAAAATAGAAGTGAGCGGTCTGTCTATGTAGCCACTTAAATATTTTCCTACGTTTGATAGAATTATTTAAACCTCTTACGTTTAGGGAAACAATTTTAAAGTTTAATAATTTATGAAATTCCGTTATCCATCATGTATTAATGCATTAAAGCAGTTACTAATCGACCTGAATTTGTTTGGACTTAGGTTAAGCCTAGCCTGTCGTATTTGACTCGCTTTCTGTAAAGCATACCTGTATCTAAAAAAGTAGGATGTAAACACGTAATATACGCAAGTGACAGGAAGAGTGTTCTTGTCGCTTCTATACATAAAAATGAAAGCACATACAAAACAATAACAACAAGATGACACCTATTGTGTAAAACGCTCCTGAGGGAGTGTTGTGGTTAGCAGGTGTATGCAAATGCCGCTCTACTTAGGTTGTTTAGAGTTACATGTATATGTGAAAATTGTACAGTGCTCTTTTTATTGATAAAAGGCAACTGTAGATTGAACATTTTAAGAAAAAAACGAGGAATAACACTTAAGGGTTAAAGCATAGTTCCAAGATGCAGAAATTGACTTATGTTGTGATTTCAGTCTCCATGGGGCTCTCTTTTAAGTGCTCTGGAATTGTTCCACAGGTAAATCTTTCTTCGCTTACGACAAGAAGTCGATCAATATAACTTTGGAATCAAATCCGAGCGCTCTGGCTTTTTTCATAAGTAAGAGTAAGTAAGTAACCTTTATTTAAACACGATAAGTAATTAAGCTTGCAGCTTGTGGGGTCGAGTGTAAATAAGCAATAAAGAATAATTACAAAATAAGAATTAAAAAAATTACAATGTAAGATCTAATCTAGNTAAGCTTGCAGCTTGTGGGGTCGAGTGTAAATAAGCAATAAAGAATAATTACAAAATAAGAATTAAAAAAATTACAATGTAAGATCTAATCTAGTTTAAATAAAAATTTGCAGCTAATAAGAATTTACCAAATTATTAACATTATGTGACTAATAAACGTATACCAAAGGAAGGTCGAGTCATCTTCTGCAGTATATATTCGCAAAGCTAATGTCCCTGACCAAAGTAAGATTATTGATCATCTTAGAGGAGCTGTTTACACTGTTCGCCATTCGGCATCCAATCGGCAAAAAATTCCACAGAATTGTACCCCTGTAAGATACGGAGAATTTCTTGATATTTGATTTGATTTTTGATTTGATTTCATTGCTTTGATCAAAGTGCGACATTCCTGCTGAATGGCTTTAGCGTAGTCCTGCGTGATGTAAGTATCATGATAGGTTGTGGACTTTTTCAGATCTTTTTTCCTTGACCATATCAAATCTCTGTCTTCGCGACACACAAATTTCGCAATAATTGGCCGTGTTTTTCTAACTGCAGGCTTTCCCACTCTGTGAACGGCATGGAATCTGACATTAGGGACATCTATTCTCAGATCGTTTTGTATTACAGTAGATTAATGATCATCCCTTTGCAATCTTCTCCGCGATCTTCTGGTAGACTCATGAATTTCAAGTTTTCGCGACGCGTGTAGTTCTCTAAGGCAATGATGTTTTCTTTTTCCACATTAAGAAGCAGCGTTGTTTTCTCCAATTCAGACTTCAGCTCGTCAATTTCCCTTTGTTTAGAGTCTTTAACATCTTTGTGGGCTTTCAGCTCGGCGGTATGATCATCGATATGCTCCCAAACTTGCTCCAGAGACTTTTCAATGCCGCTGATGGTTGCTTGCAGACTATCCAAGTTCTCTTTTATTTCGTGGCGAAAGCAATCCATGTCTGTCTGGAGTTGTTCTCTTTTGTTCTCCAATCTGTCACTGACTGGATTGAATCGACGATTTGTTTCAGGACATCATCAAGGGGAACGAACTTTTCCGACCTCGTGTTCTTTGCTTGTTGGCATTGCCGTCATCTTGGGTTTCTTCTGGTCTGTCGACGGTGGGCTATATAAGAGAAAGACCTTTCTGCCGTCTTCTTGCTTTTTTTCTTCATTAAAGGATAGGCATTGGCCGATTTTTGAAGGTTTAGTGTGTTGTGAATGACATTTTTGTTTGAGAGCCGCATAATCTGGCTATATTCTAGAAGATCACATAAACGTGAACGTCCGCCATTATCCCGGTCACACCTTCCCACTTGTGAGAGATGTGCTTTTGATCTGATTTGTCCCCACTTTTATTTTACTGGCGGTTCAATACGCAACGAGTTCTTGTATCACAGAAACTGACGAGTTTTCAATGGTGTGTTTAAATTGCGCCAATGCTCACCAGCCCACAAGTCTGTTTTTACTTGTAGAATTTGGACACTTTTTGCTCATGCTCGTACGTGTTTGCCTAGGTTTCTTTACACTTATGGACTAAATGTGGACCCCCGTGAAATCCGCAGTGACTTCACATGCTGGATGCGAAGTGAAATCGACGTCTTTCATTGGCGACATTCCTTATCGGTATCTAATATTTTTGGTGAAAACTGAAGTTTGTGTTGTTGGAAAGCTATGGATATGTAATAGATTTCAGATAAAACAAAAAAGCGTATACAACTTTTACATGCGTAAACGAGCTGAAGGAAAATTGACTTTGCCTTGTAAGTGTGTTTACCCGTATCACATGTGTCGTGTCTACTTGCTTCGTTACTTGACAAAGCATGCAGTGTAAAATTACAGCTTCAATTTTTTACCGTGACACTGTTATCATTAGCAACTGTTATTCCCAAAAATAATGTGAAAGAAAAAGATGTCCTTAATTAATAATGAACTGTGTTAATAATGTTGAAAACAAATTGTAACACGTTTCAGACAAAATATTATTTAAATGCGGAGATCGGATTTCGCTAAAGCAGGACTTGGTATCGGTAATTGTCGACATATGGATAGGATTGATGTTAACTTATAGACTGTAAATACTTCTTCCGATGTATTTCAAATCAAATTAGACAGCATTTAAAATTGTAAGTATTTTAACGCATCACTGGTTATCAAGGCCAATTAATACGCTCTGATTTTTCGGCTCACACAAAAGATTTATAAATGGAAAAAAACATTTTCAATAGAGAAAACCGTAGCGGGTTAGTCTGACATGTAATTTTCAAGAAAACTGCAGGGCATTAAAAGTTCCCACGGTACCCAACGAAATCTAATAAATTCACTTCCAAAAAATGCGTGCAGTCGCTATGCATTAATGAACATGAAAAGCCTAGCGCCAATCTACAAAAAAAAATGAATCAAAGCTTGCAACATGAAAGTTATGAACGAGATGAGCCTTGAGTTTTGAAACAGTTCATGAGTTAGTAGTATGCAAACGAAACGAGATATTTTTATTTTTAGTTACAAAGGTAACTTGACACTTTTGTTTTTCAAAAGGAGTAAACTCAACTAGAGGTCACGAATCGTCGCTTCTAGTTCTTAGGACATGTTTTAGAGAAGACGAGACTATTTAAATTTGAAACAGTTCTAACGTTTACAATGAAGTGCAGGTAACGATTGTTTTGTTCNAAAATAAAGTCTGACGTGTATATTGCCAGTTTGTGATTTTTAGTCCGGGTTTGGAGCGGAGTGTGACAGTTACATACATACATCGGCCGGGGTTGTTTTAGAGTGCATGATGTTCAGTGTGATAGTGGCTAGTTATGAACGAGATTAGCCTTGAGTTTTGAAACAGTTCATGAGTTAGTAGTATGCAAATGAAACGAGATATTTTTACTTTTAGTTACAGAGGTAACTTGATACTTTTGTTTTTCACAAGGAGTAAACTCAATTAGGACCAATTAGAGGTCACGAATCGTCGCCTCTAGTTCTTAGGACATATTTTAGAGGAGACGAGACTATTTAAATTTGAAACAGTTCTAACGTTTACAATGAAGTGCAGGTAACGATTGTTTTGTTCTTGTTGCATGCAAATATAACGAGATATTTTTATTTTTTAGTTACGAAAGGTAATTTGACACTCTTGTTTTTCACAAGGGAGTAAATTCAATTAGAGCT